GTGCTAGAGCCCACTGCAACTACATAGCCAAAAAGGCATTAAGAGTTGTTAACCTAATCCTACGTAGCTTTTTCTCTGGTAATATCACACTACTAACCAGAGCATACAAAACATTTGCTAGACCAATACTCGAATACAGTTCATCAGTCTGGAACCCACATTACGTATCTGATATTAGCACAATTGAGAAAGTCCAGAAATATTTCACAAGAAGAGTTCTCCACTCCTCTACTCGTTGTAGAATACCTTATGCCACCAGACTTGAAATTCTAGAACTAGAAAACCTTGAATTACGCCGTCTTCGGTCTGATTTAAGCATGGTATATAAAATCATACATTGCAATGTCCTACCTGTCAATGAATACTTCAGCTTCAACCATAACAACACAAGAGCACACAATAGATACAAACTCAAAGTAAACCGCACCAAACTTGATTGCAGGAAATACGACTTCAGCAATAGAGTGGTCAATGTCTGGAATACTCTACCCGACTCTGTAGTTTCTTCCCCAAACCCCAAAAACTTTAACCTTAGACTGTCTACTATTGACCTCACCCCTTTCCTAAGAGGTCTGTAGGGGGCGTGCATAAGCGCACCAACGTGCCTACCGTCCCTGTCCTATTGTTTCTCTTATTCTTCTTTTATTTTTCTTATATGTACCCATTTCATGTATTCACAACTATGTATACACTTATACTTATTATCTTGTAAACAATTGGCAAATCAAATAAATAAATAAATAAAATAAATAAATAAAAAAGGCATGTTTTAGATGGTTTAATTTTGGCCTTAGATTCTGTTGAACAAAATTGAAACTTTCTTATATAACTATGGAACCTTTTCAGTGAGGATGAAGTTCTAGGGCAGCCTAATCTGTTTATTTTGCACATAGAGGTATTTTCTAAAACTAAGGTTCAAATTGGTACAAGGGTCTGCTGTGTTTGAAAATCATAGGTAGAAAATACAAGATCATTTGGGACACAAATGTTTTTATATACATTTATGAACTATTGAGTGCAGTGCTCAATCCATACAGTTAAAAGATGCTCAATTTCAATTTTGCATCACAGGTATATGTTTGCCAACCACAAAGATCTGGTGCAACTTTACCTTTTTCTTTTATTTCCCTTGCATGTCTACTGGAGATTCAGGCCTTCCAACATCTTATCACATTTTAGTGATGCTAAGACCATATTCATGACTTGAATTATATCAATTTTTTTTCTCTAATGTAATAATGAGATTCTTCATTTCTGAGCTTGTACTATTTACCTTTTGACAGAATCTTTCTTTTCTCCATTTTAGACACACGAAGATTAGCAGCCTCTAAAATCTCAACTGCAATTGAACATGTACTAGCCTCAACTGTGCAATTAACTGAATTTTGTGTTGCATTAAACACGACTTGGTATCAATTTATAATTCACACTAAACTGAATATTGAATTATTTAAACACTCATTAATCATGATATAACTGCAGAAAGCTGTTGCCACTCTGTACATCTGGTGCGTACTTTTCTTCTGCAACAGAGATGGTGACAGGACAGTGATATGTGTTGCATCTTGTTGCTGCCTCTTTAATGTTTTCTTAATTTAAACACATATTTTTCTAGGCACCTGGCTACTATGCAATCCCAAGAAAAGCTGTGTGTACTCCAGGTACAAATGCCCCAGACCACTAACCAAATATTAAGAGTTCCATCCAGTGTCAGGTAAAGTATTCTATATACGTATTACAATGAATTCTGACATAATGATTGAACATAATATTTACCATTGCAGCATAAATTTAGTTAATCTCATTTAGAGTTAAGAGAATGTTTCAAGACATTTCTCATTTAAAAATATTATTGCTTGTTAATATGTCAAACTACATTTTTTTAAAAAAAAATAGTGATTCTGTTCATATTCTCCAATACATTGTGTGTGTGTGTGTGCGTGTGTGTGTGTGTGTGTATGTATGTGAGACACAAAGAATTCTACTGACACAGGGAATAAATCTCCTAAAATAGCAACAACAATTTTAGCAGTAACAGTGTGAATGATTCCAGTGGATAATCTCTATCCTTACGCAAACGTCCTTTGTTTTGTGCTCCAGTGAACAAGCTACTGTACCAATATTTTTGGCACTAGTACAAGACTGAATCCATGGAAGCATGTGTATATTTACACAAAAGAGACTTCTAAGCTACAAAAATCCCTCTTGTTTAGTTACACTAATTTCCCCTGAATGAAGTTTGTATGTAAGCCAAAACAATAGTAGTTATCCTGTCCTCTAGAGTTCATTCCCAAATGAAAGATATGAATAATTGAAAATTTCTGAGGCAGTCCTCCAAAACTGTTTTCTTAATGTATTGATTTATCAGAGATGAAAACAAAAACTATATTTAGCATCTATATATTTTCTTGATTAAAATTAAATATTCCCACAGTATTATTTAAAATATTTCATATGAAAAGGAAGCTTGAAGCACAACACAACACAAATACCTAAGATACTATCAAATAGATAAAAATGGAGAAACAGACTTAATTTACTGCATTTGGGATTAAATTATAACAATTAAAAACAACAGAAAGTAATCTGTTGAATTTAAAGAGACCTTAGTGCACAACAAGGGAGCTGATGAAGAAAAGTCACAATAGAACGATGAATCAAATTCTAGCAAGGGTGGTGATGTCCAGACTAATAACATCTAGGGGGCATTCTCTGTCAAGACATCTTGATTTTAACATAAACCTAAAACTGGAAAAACAGAAACTGAAAATTGTAAGTAGAAAAATCTGAGGCACCACCTGTCTTAGCACTGCCCAATCCAAGAACCAATGTTTCCAGGAAAGGTGCTGTTATAGATACTTCTTAATATCAAAAGACTGATTTTTGGGTCACATGCAAGAGAGCTGTTTTCTCTATTGTTCCCAGGTGTAAGATAGAATCTTTCTGGAGATTAGTTTATTTATTTATTTTAATTTATAAAACCTGTCCAATAGCTATTGAACTGATATAGGGAAAATAAGATTGCTGCTAAAAATGAAAAGGATTATCCCAAATCGTTGCAGCTAGGGTTAACTATGATTATGGAATGGAAACCATATTGCTCTGGTAGATGAATGGCACTTGGGTCTGGATATCAGAAGTAAGCCTTCATCTGTCTTCAATACATCAATCTTGGCATCTTTATAAACTGTCTCTGAGATCATGGAAACATGGGGAATATGGAGTTGCAGTGGCTCCATTCCTTCATAAGCAGACAGTTCTAGTCAGTATGGAGAGGGAAGGAGAAATTGACCCAGCAGCTGTTCTCATGTGATCCATTTCTCTCTCTCTCTCTCTCCCTTGCTCCTTAACATCTACATGAAGATGCTGGGTCAGGTCACTTGAGGTGAGATATCAGTGAACCTTTGACATACAAGGAGACATACCTTGATCCCAGACCAGCAAAATGTATGATAGGAAACTTGAAATGTGCCAGTCAATGGAATAGTAACTAATTAATCTGAATGGAATAACAGAATAACAGATGAAACTTCTATGGGAACAAGAAGTTATCTGGATTACTTTGGTTGCAGGTTGATGCAGAACAGTTGATAAAGGTCAGTCATGATGAAATGTGAAGCTTGACACAAAATAGTTGTGGTGTGAAATGCAGCAGCCCACCTGGTTTTGTGCAGACTAGATGAGCACATGTCATCTCTCTTATGAGAACTGCACTAGCTGCCAATTTGCTTCCTAGTCCAATTCAAGGTGCTGGCTATTCATTTTAAAGCCCTGCATGGCTCGGGACCAGGTTATTTAAAGACCATTTTTACCCAGTCCAACCCACCTGAGTGAGGAGGCAGGAAATGTTACAGGTCCCCTCTCTTAAAGAGGTACATCTAGCAGGACCAAGAAGAAGGGCCTTCTCCATGGTGGCTACCTAATTATGGAACATCATCCCAACAGAGATAAGATTGCATCCCACTTTGACACACAGAATCTTTGTAAGATGGTAAAGACCCACTTGTGCCAATGGACCTGGAGAAACCAGACTGGTGGAGCCCATCAAGTGGCTTATTAATTGTGGTTGCCAAGGGGAGGTGGCAGGTTATTGCTAAATAGCAAAAGCACTTGGAATTATGTAGTGCTTCACAGTGCTTTACAGTCCTCTCTAAGTGGTTTACAGAATCAGCCTATTGCCCCCAACAATCCGGGTCCTCATTTTACTGACCTCAGAAGGATGGAAAGCCTAATCAACCTTGAGCCAGTGATGATAGAACTCCTGGCAGTTGGAAGAATTAGCCTATAATACTGGATTCTAACCACTGCGCCACCAAGGCTTGTTGATTTTTTAAATGATATTTTTATGTTTGTAAGCTGCCTGAAGTCACTGAGAGTGAGTTGGGTGGCTATATAAATTTTCACAAACAAACAAACAAAGTTGAAAGAGCTCAGTGCATGGCAACTACATTAACCAATGAAGTCCCTAGAAGTTGCCTATGTGAAATCACCAATTAATTAATATTAGGAAATAAACAAGGTGGGAAAGCATATAGATTATAATTTATTGAATATTTTCCAACCCCTTTATCTAATTTACCAGTAACTGTATTGTGTGTAGTGAAGCAGTATATTGTATCTTTACATGTATGCATTTTTGCATCTCCCCTCATGATAGTTTATCTAGTTTGTATCTATATTTGCTCTTTCTGGAACATTTGCTCCTTCTGGAAGGATAGAGGGATTTGAGAATTAATCAGTCAGCAGCATTACAACTCAGTGCCTCGTTGTCTCTCCCACAGGAGAATTTTTGAGACTGGGAGAATTTTTCTTGAAACATCCCCTGGCCTGATCTGGCTTAATTTCAATTCAGCTTTTCTTTTGCCAGCTTCTTTCCTCTTCCCAATTTGCTGTCATTCAATTCAGTTTTCAGAGTCATCCTTCTCATAGACAGGCAGAAGTCTGAGCCCCCTTTTTATCATTCTAGTGATTGGGAAGAATAAAAATAAGGATAAACAAACCTGGGCAGTATATGGATCTAATGCTTGCACCTTAGGAGCCTGGATGTTTTCAGGTCTTGAGGGCCTTGTGATGACTTCTACCCAAGAACTGCTGTTAATGCCACCTTGAAAAGTGCTTGCCAATATTCTGTATTCATATTTTTTCCAAGGGCTAAGACTTTTGTCTAGATAAGTCTTGGAACAATTGGAAGGAAAAGAGGCTACTGCGGATACTTGTTCTGTTCCCTTTATTCTCCTCTCTATTGTGAAGCTTTCAACTGGTCCATTTAAATGAAGAGGAGATTGCCACGACACAAGCACAGATGTTGGTGTGTCTGAGTATAATTCTGGAGCAGGGATGTCTTCAGGTGCATCTGGAAGGGTTTGTATAGGTAGGCTCTCAGAGGAAAGGGAGCACCCTTTGGAAGTGCATCCTTCTACTTGAAATCGGTAAACTGTATATGGTTGCAAGAAAGATGCAATATATTTTGCTCTAGCTCCTGGAACAGTAGAATGCAGATGGCTGTTTTGATAGATGTTGTAGTGGGTGACAATGCCATTTGGCCTTAAAGGAGGCTGCCAGGAAATGGTTGTTTCTCTGGCTTTCACTTCCAGGATTAGTGGTGGGTCAATAGGTCCTGGTTCTACAACAGAAGAAGGGTTGTGGGGGAGAATAAGTTCATTGTTCCTAATGTGCAGCTATATAATGCAAAAATGAAACTTTTTCACTGGAAAATACCTTTGTTTCTTAAAGACAATATAAGCAATGGAGAGAACCCATCCACAAGCTCCTTTTACTGTAATGAATGCAATAGCGAACAGAGATTATGTAACTATTTATTCTTTGAAACCTATCATTTAGTTCTCAGGTGAATTGAGAATCCCATTGGTCTCATTTTATAATAACATTATAATATAATGCAATTTGTTCAGTTTGGGCTTAATATGATGAGTGAAACCATCCATTATGATTTAACAGTATATAAACCAGCCCCATGGCTAATCCTGGCTTAACTCAACCATTATAGTCAGTGATTCTACAGAGTATTAACTTTACCCACTTTTACAATGATTTAGAGGAATACATTATGGATTCTGCTAGTGGAATATATTCTTTAGGGACTCTTCTTAGAACACTGCCATAGCAGAAAGCAATTCTGATTTTCCATTGTAATTCCCAACTTCCATGACCAGATTTTAGGGAAAGATGGAGAACTGAAGGTACAAGTGACATGTGGGTGAATGTCAACTCCTCTCCCATTTATTCAGTGAAAAACTTCCACTGAATCAAAAGTCTCCCATGGCTGAGAGGACCCATCCAACAAGTAGAAAAGTTTGTTGAATACAGACCCCTTCTAATTAGGAATCAATATAGTATTGTTCCTCCCATAATTAAAACAAGATCAGGAATTCAATTTTGATATGCTACTAACCTGAACTACAATGGAAAAATAGTGTCAGAGAAGAACTATTTGTTTGCCTTCTAGGGTTAGTTTTCTTAAAGGCTACTCTAAATGAGACATCTTTCCTAAGTGAAAGTTTGGTATGATGCAACAGGAAACTTCCCAGAACTTTTAACATTAATAAGAACTTTCTATATTATTTCTAATATCAAAAGCACCTTTTTACTATCCATTGTTCTATGCAAACATAAAAGGAGATGCAGAATTAGGCTAAAATATATGAAAGAACTCTCAAGAGAATTCCCCTTGTACTCCACCCCTATTATATTAGAAGAACAGTCAAACCCTTGGGAGAAGATGATGAGCAGAGGGGACAAGTGAAAGCTTGCCTGCTATAATCCACTCCATGGCCAAATGGACTCATCTGAAGCAATTAATGAATTTTAAGAATTAATTCATGATTTTAAGAAAAAATATATGAAACTGGGCAAGAATCATTGTTTTAACTTTTGCTGTTGTTCTTTCAGAACACATTCTTAATTACTTTCATCACACCATAGTAACAAGCCTGCTTGTTTCATATCCCAGTAAAGCTATTCCTATGCTTCTTGTTACATATGCAATATTTATGCTCTCGTCTGTTTATCATTCTAATCCATTTTTTGCAATTTATCTACTCCCTGTTAATATTGTAGGTGATTTTTTACTGTGACTGTGACAGAAGCTGCCGATTTAGCTCTTTCACCTACTGATAAATAAACAATGCACAGATCTGACCTTTAGGTTAACAGGTTTTATGCTTGCTCCACTCAGCACTCTAACAGATTCAATTATCATAAAGGTTCAGGAGCTTCCATGAATACTGAAAAAGATGAACCATATGCCCGCATAGGTGTCGTGGAACAGCAAATACTCAGCAACTGCCCCCCCTTGAGAAGTCCCTTAATTGTAAATAATTTCATCATGCGACACAATCAAGTCACCTTGAATGCAAAACCCCTCAGCCTGTGGAGGCAAAACGTTATTTAAGCTTTAGTGGGCTGCGTTAAATTCTGCAATTTGAAGGGCTGTTAAGTTTTTCAATTGAAATTTCATTTAAAATGCAGGTGCTTTTTATTATATTGAGGCTTTACTGCTCTCTAGGTACAAGCAAGAACATGGTGCAAAAACACAAATCTGGCTCAATCACTGATCAGTAACAGCTGTAATTCCAGAACATTTAGCATTCTTATAAACCATCTCGTGAAATCTATAAATTGTTGTCAGGGGTCAACTGCCCACCTATTCTGCCCACAGCATTTTTGGTGTTTATGAGATTTTGTGTTAATGCTAAATTTTATTGAAAATCTTTTGAAAATATATTCTTGAGTACTGTAATCATTTAAAAGAGTTTTCAAGGCTCCCCCCTCCCTTTCATAGAATCAGATGTTCACATTTTCAAAGGCAACAGTGCCAGGGACCTTGAGTTACAGTCTGCAGCCATTTGAAAGAAGGGGAAAAGTAAGCTAGTCATGAAGCATTATATCACTATCTACTTTTTTAACCTGATAAATCAGTGCATATCTTGCTTATAACAGCAATTACCCCTATGTAAGTTTCTGTGAAATTCCTGTGAATACAAATTTTAGGCGACTGCTTCTATAAGTTGCAAAGTTACATATTAGAAGGTGGTTAAAATATACAAGTAATATTCAAAATTATTCTGGAAAGTTTTAGAAAGTATTTGGATCTTCATATTTGTATTAGGATTGGTTTTTCCATAGTTCCAAAAATGATAACTAGATTTAAATAATTTTGAAGGGGAAAAAAGGAATATTTTGTTAAGATTTAAGGTACAGAAAGTGATAGTGATTTTTGGAAAGTCAACTTAAAGCAATTCAGCTTTCAAGATTCATTTTCTACAGGGCTGGTCAACAACTTACTAATTAGGCATCTATCTGGACAATTGGACTGTGGTTATCTGCAGGAAGAAAATAACCAAGCAGTTTGTTTTTTCTTATGATAAGTAAGATAAAGCTTTCATACCTACTGCTAGCATTATAGGTACAACATTTGGGATAATGAGATGAACTTGTATTACTAACCCCTGCTGAGTTTAGACATAGCCCTTTTAACATTATCTGCTATAACTTATGAGAACAGAGGCTTAACTTAATTTTCTACTTTGCCTCTCTCCCCCCCAAAAAAACATTAAAAAGGAAAGGATACCTTTTTACATTCATTTGCTATTGCTCCCTTTTTAAAATGGCAACACTTAAAAAAAGATAACTTAATTCAAACATGTCACATCCTTGACCTAGGAATAATTTTCATACATGAAAGAGGAATAGGATGATACACTTATTACAGCGGATGCAGAAAAGGCAAGTCTTAGCAACCACAGCTCCTGACTGTTGTCTACAAATATGGCAACTGTGAACATGAGACCCAGCCTGGGAACTCTGCTTCAAACATCTTTGTGCAAAAAGTTAAAGAATAGCAAAATGGAGGAATATACGGGTTACATGATTTGTTTAGGGATAGGCTGATACTTCAAATAGATTACTTCAAGGAATCAGGTCTAACAAGACCAGCTGGTTATGCTTGGGAGCTTTTCCCATTTAAAGAACCCACCTAAGTGATTTTGATGCTGGAATAGCACTCTGTGAGAACCTGACGGCCATATATCTTAGATTAAACCCAGAAGGCAAGTTCAGAAATGTCTACTCTTGCCCAGAACAGGTGAAATGAACTATCCTATTTGGTTGCTAGTAAAGATCTTAACTATATGTTACTCAAATTATTGTATCTGTTTGATATGTTTGTAACTGTCAATTGGGCAAAATGTGCATCACAGGGCAACCATTTTTAAACCAAGGTACCTCAATTGAGCTAACTTGCAGAATGTGTCCAAAATCTGGAACTGATAACTTTCGCAAAATTAGAATTTGACAAATTTGTGGCTACTTCAGTGCTGCCACCCTGCCATTTCAGCCACAGTCACTTAATTGACATTTCCAGGGTTCAATGCCAGCTTCCTACAAGGAAAGTCACTGGGGAAGAAGGCAGGAAGTTGGAAGTCACTCACGCTCTCCTTGCTTTTTTGCTTACACACAGCCATTCAGTTTCACTGTTTAGGTAAGGAAATATCTCTGAAATGATGACCCAAAAGGTCATGGGCTGCCTAATATTCTATGACAATGAATGGTTCACTCTTGTACTGATTTCAAACTACCTGTTACTGAACTCTAGTCTAAATATCCAGGACAAACAATACTTTAGAGAATTGAATTGGCACTGCTGGAAAAAGAATTAAAGTTTTATCTCATCATTTTGTTAGATGAATAGATACTTTGGCAGTCTGTCTCTGTCTGTGAAGACACCATAAGCTAGCATGATCCTGCTTGGCTGACTGGGTCACCACAATTATGTAAAACACAACTATTAACTATAATTGGAATAATTTGCTAATATAATACAAAGCTCTAGATATGAAAAAAAAAAAAAAAAAAAGGTACGCACCCAGTAGCAGCAATCACTTTTTAAAGTAAGAATTCATGGGTGAAATGACATGAAAAAGATGGTTATAAAATTTTAATGGAATGATAAAAGGCAAAAGTCAGCCTCTCAGCAGAATTCTTAAAATCTCTATATATCACAATCAGGTCCTTAACTGTAAAATCAATGTGGAATAGAATGTGTTGTCAATGCAGTTATCACTGTATGAGAGCCTGCAAGAGTTTGACAGTAACACAATCTTGCCTGCCAGGGCTGAAAATAAAATAATAAACTCCTGTTACTTATTAGGAATTGTTTATAGAGCCAACTACAGCAGATGAGGAGTGGAAGGGGAGGGGCATATCACTTAATGCCTTTGATTGATTCCTCAGGCTATTTCATTATTACATTAATACTGGAAGGTAGTTTCATTTTGCCAAATGAAATTATCTTTTATGCGAGGCTATTTTGCTTGTCCGCTTCAAAAGTTCAGACTCTATTTAAGAAAAGGAGGTATAAAATTATCATTAATCTTTTCTAATCATCTGACTAGAGACAAGTGTTTATTTACTTACTAGTGCAGAATTATCTTCTGATGGCCAGGCAAGATGGGAATCATAGAATTCTTGATATATGCAGTGGGCAACAGAAATAGATTATTGCATTTTTAAAGGTAATGAGAGGTATACTTTTCAGAGGTCAGGCAGAACATATCTGTAGGAGACTGGTGTTTAGTGAACTTTCCAAAGCAGAATCGTACATTTAATCAAACTTTGCAACTCAAAGAATATAAAGTGAGTTCCAGACAATTGCCACTTCTACGGTTAAAAAACTAAAATAAAAAAATCTAACAATAATACTTAATATTTAAGAATCCATCCAATTATGGGTTTTGAAAGAATCCTGGTTTGTTTCTTAAAGAGCTTTATAACAGGCTGACATTCAGCTGACATTTTTTTAATTAATGGTATTGTCAGAAAAAAAAAGTCTACTTGTCTTTTTGTAACAAAGATATTAAAAACCTAATATAAGTTTGGAAGGAGTGGATCAGAAGACACATACTACAAACAAAGGCAGGCTGTCCTATTGTCCCTGACAGATTTCACTGATGGATTTGCTTTTGTCTCCAATATCCATTGTATTTATTACATTTCTAAAATGCACCATAAATTCTGTTGCTGAATTCTATTGAGATGTGTGTTTCAACTGGGGGTAACTATCTTAGTTGGCCTATCCTGGCAACTAATGGAGTCATTTACAATTGCTTGTCTGTAAGCCAAAGAATTGGTTTGGGACCGCTGCTCCCAAGACAGTTGTCTTAAGTGACAGAGTCGGATTTTCTGTGGATGGATGTTGACATACTTGGTATTATTTAAGATCTAGAAAAAGGATAATTAGGTTAAACCTTGAATAACTTGAATCTTTCCTCCACATCCCCATATCCCATCCCCATCTAATTTTAGTAATTTTAATTTTTACACATTCAGCTAAAATCAGCAACAACTCTGGAATGAATTGAGGAGTACACAAAAAGGTTTCAGGTGGCCTCATTTGGGATCATGCATATATTATAACCACAATATAAATCTATCACTGCTATCTAGCTCTCAAGTGGTAAACTGCTCTTGGAGAGAAGTTTGTGAAATAGAGTCATTCATTCCCTGGAAGTAGGGCACAAATTGCATGCTGAAGGATAAATATTTAGTGTTTAGCATCCTTAGTTAGAAGAATCAAGTAATGGGAATGAGACTAACAGGGTTGATAAACTTTTTAGGATTGTAGCATAATTAATGCAATTAAAAAGTTATGATATCCTTCCAGGATGTGCATTTATTTATCTATTGGTCTGAGGTTTTTCTCACTATCTTCCAAAGCATAAAAAAATTAAAATGTTTTAAAAGACAATATTAAAAAACATTTTTATTTTTATAATAAAAATTACATAGGAGCGAGAGGATAGGTTCTTTTAACATTTATATTACCTGTAAAGAGAATGCTTTTAAAAAACAGAGGGCTTTGACCAGAATCTACATACAGCCTTACATAGTCAAAAAGCATAGTAATAGCTTCAGTAATCATAATAAATGCTATGACCGTTACATTGACTTTTACATTGTATGTCCTGTAAAAGTACACTGTGTCCTTTTTCAAGCTACTTACTATCCTCTTCTGTATCTATCAGAGTCCAGCTGCTGAATGTATCACCATATTCATTGCAGGCAATAACTCTCAACTCATAAGATGTATATGGTTGCAGATCCTTCAGTATGTGATGTAAATAAATTGTTGGTTTAGAAAACAACCTAAAGGAAAAATACATATTTTAAGATTAGAAATACAACATCACAGGGGAATATTGTATAGACAGGACTGGTGCATTTCAGATAAACCACCTCATACCAGTTTGGATCTCTTCAGAATATACAGAGTATTTACCTACTTACTCTGTATTATTTTCTGAGCAGTTCTTAAATCTTATTTGGAGTCGGTATGTGGGTAAGCCTGGAGCATTGTTGTGAACTGGTGTAGACCAGAAAACCTGAAGACTGGTTGGAGTAGCAGATGAAAGTCTAGGAGGCAACATGCCATCTGGAGCTGTTGGAAAAACATGGATGAATTAGAGCAGAAAAAGATGTGGGCAACATATGCTGGATGGAATTAAAATACTCAATACACTGGAAAACTGATATTGAGGATCAACAGCAATTAAAGCACAGTTTAATTTAACATCTGTGTGTGCTACTGTAGAATTGGGCTACATACTTCTTATATTATAATAATGTTATCATAGTACATCCATACTAATATAAATCCATAGATAGATTAATATGTGATGCTCTCGAATTTATAATGCTGTGTATCTATCTCATCATCTGAAAACAACTGATTTGGCTTACCTGAGCATGATTGCTATCTGGTACAAGAGAACTTAAGAAATCAGCTTCAGAACCAATGACTAAAGATACCTGCTTTTTCTATCCTCAGCAATTACAAGCTATATAATAAGCCATCTTGCTAACTTCTAGTTCTAGTCAAATGGTAAGCCAAGCATGATCAGAAGGAGTGCAATGTTACATGATAACATGACACCACTTATTAATTATATTAATTGCACACAAATCACATTCTATTCACATTTCAGGGTAGATGAAAGTAGACCTTTGAAATTAATGACGTTCTAAGCAAAAATACAATAGTAATCACAATGATAGGAACAAAAAAAAAGAATAATTAAGCTAAAATGTCAAAAAGAGGTTTCAGCCTGATGCAGAAAGGAATTCATTGTTGTCCTTTGTCTCAGAAGATATTCAAAAAATAAGGTGCAATTTTTATAGACAGAATTTATGAAAAATCTTACTTAGGCTATTTTAACTATTACTGATTGATTAATAACAACTTCTTTGAAATGTTGTTTTAGATATTGGAAGTCAATTAGATTTTAAATGTAAGAGTTACATTTGCACTTTTGACTGAGCTTGATAGCTGGGATTTAGAAGTCATTTTCAGAATTCAAACTTCTAAAACACATCTAAATGCTAGTTCTGACATTTGTGAGAGGTTTGAGAGCAGTTATAAAATAGTGAAAAGATTGGTAAACAGAACAGAAATTCTGTTGAATGTGTTTAATCAAATGCTGTACATGGAACACTTGATGTCCTGAGAATTTATTGATAATTAAACTTTCAAAGCCACCATTCCTGTTTCATAAGCCATGGTTTAAGAATAGTGAAATGAGCATTGGATCCTAGTGTTGCTTCTCTGTTCCTGTTCTCTCTGCAAAACATAAGCTGGTCTCGTCATTAAATTTTTGCCTTGTCTTAATCCAGAGTTCCTATTAACGAATTTTGTAATAGTAAATTGCAAGTGTCTCAGAATACAAAAAAATGGCAGCTTCTGTTGCCAAAAGGTTACCTGCTTCTGGTTTATATGTAGAGCAGTGTAGGTTGTTCCTATTGCATTAAAAGTTATCTATAAACTACATATAATTTCTGAAAGGCAACCTTCCACTCAATCACCCTCCAAAACTCCTGACTGCACTCCAAGGATCTAAATGGAATCTCTAACATGCTTTTTTCCAAGGTACTTTGATAAACTGGATCCACTGTTAAACTAATCAAGAGCATCCAACAGCTGATCACCTATTACAATAGTTCAAACTTCTCATTATTAAAAAATGTCACATATTTTTATGAATAGGAACTTGATGGGAGTATTCCCCCTTTCATTTCTTTAGTCTTAACATTTCCTATAAAGACTGGCTTCATACAAAAGCAATAATTATAAGGGAGCAATAATTTATCTGTCACTTTCTTAATAGAAGAGCCATTTACCTATCAGGATGATATATTGCCTCTAACAAACAATGATACTTCAACTGCCCTTTTTGAAGTTTACTACATCCCTCAAGGGGCAACCACTCCATTGGTAACTTAGTGAATCAACACATCTTGTCCAATAAATGCTCAATTAGCATGGCAAAATAGCATACAGCAAGTATATTGGAAAAGTGCAATGGGTGAAGAATTTAATTTTATTTCTCCTTAGCAGCATAAACTAGTCAATTTTGCTATTTTGGAGATTAGGCAAGGGTTAAGAAATTAAATACCACTGCAAATTCTTGGGGGGAAAAGGACAGGCTTTACATAAAAATAAATGAACTATTAAGAGATTTGTACAGCCAAGTTGCGCATGTGGACCCAGAGCCCTGGTATATACCAACACAGCTAGTCTTAATCTGACTTAATAAAACTAATGATACTATATTAAGAACATTTTGTTCTTCCTTCATTGACAAATCTGATCGATAAAACAGGAAGAATGTTTAAGATTTTAAAAATTCTAATATCTAATGTAATTGAGAATTTGGGGGTCCTTATTTCAAAATCTGGGAAAATAAAAAGAAACAATTTTTTATTACTGAATTTCAGTTGAGTTTCTTTTTTTCCTAACAGCTCCCCTTACATAGCAAAAAATATGCAAACTGTGCTCAATGCAGTAAGATCATCTAAGCGGTGAGAACTTCATACAGTTGGTGAACTTATCAAACTGAGACATTTCTTTCTAAAGAAGAAAGAAACTAAGATTTTAAATAATGCAATAAAATGGGTATGTGACTAATTTTTAATGCCATTTTGGATTTGTCATATATTTTTCACATATATAATGTGAAAACAAAAGTCATTGAAGAATACCTGAAAAAATGGAAGAAAAATAAAAAGGTCAATATTTGTTCATTTATTCAATCAATCAATTTATAGGGAAGTTCCTTTCATTTATAATTCTTATGTGACTTATAATAATAGAAAAGAAAATTAAAAAACACATTAACAAAAAGGAACAAACAATATATAGCCAAATAATAACCTTTTTACCCAAATTCATCTTAATCATGTGCAGGAGAACAGCCATGTCTTAAATGTTCTACCAACATTTGGCAAAGTCAGGTCTTTCCCAATCTTAAGGGGTATTCTGTTCCATTGGACACACACTGTGATAGAAAAGGCATGCTTTTTGGATTCCATCAGATTACATTTGTAAGTGAAAGGATTATCTTGTCTGGTAAGATAGGGCAGCCAGAGATAAACAGCTGGTTCTTCAGGTAAACTAGTGCCTGAAACTTGTGGCATCATGTTGCTGTCATGTGATGTTTCACAACATTTTTCAAATGACCTGCACATGACACATCCGGCCCATGGTCCATCAGTTTGACACCCCTGACCTAATGCAATGCCAATAAGGAGTCTATAGATTGCATTCAGCATCTTGAATTATACTAAATTACAATAGAAAACTAGGTGTTTAAATACTAAGACTGATAAGCCAAACATGAGGTTACAGAAACTCAAACAGTTATAAAATCCTGGCAAATCAGGTCATAAAATGTCAGGAGTGGCTGAAAAATTGAACAGAAACAATAAATCAACTCTGTAGCTAAGTTGAGCATCAACATGGACAAATGACCACTGACTGGAGACTACAATCATAGTGAAAGGTAAAGGATGCAACATTTCCTATTTCAGTCTTTAGTATAGCAGACTGTAGTATACCAGAGGACACTACTGTGATCAGCTCATAAGGACTGAAGTGTTTACCAGCGGAAACAAATATGACTTTGTGAATAATGACAAGTAGAACTATTTGCAAGTAATTTTGTATATATATTCCAAATCCTAATTTTGCTGATGTAGCTAAGCATGTAAAGTAATTGTAAGTATATTGATAGAAAAAGATGACTGACAGTTTTTTTAGGTGCTCACTTCTTGTAGCTGGTGTGTGGAATTGATAGTTAATTTATTTAGCTTTCTTTCACAAAACTAGGATTTTCAGTATCCCTTGTTTTCTGAGCTTGCAAATCACACAAGGACTATTTGCAAACATATTTATATGTTTATCATCCTTCCTGAAACTGATGTGGTAAATGGTGCACAGAACTTTAAAAAATGCCAATAAGCAATTAGTTGACTGATTAATGATTATAAATACATGTCAGAGATACACTCAACGAAATTTATGGCTGTCCAGGAAAGCCAATTAGATGTCATGCTGTTTAAATAGATACCTAGCCAACAAGCCACAGAATAATGAGCTTCCAAAAGAAGAATTAAACAACAAAAATGCATCTATAAAGGACTTCATATGCCAAACCAAACTTATGAATACATTTCTTAACAGAGCTTTCAATACTTACAATTCTTCAAAAATTTATCAAAATCACCTCCATTTAAAGATGCATAGATTGAAAAGTAATCCAAGTAGAATTTTATGGAATTATTATTCTACAACTGTATCTTTTCATACTGCTGAAGCTTATTGTGGCATTAAATGTTGGGGCCAATTGATTGGTTTGTTAATTTCTGCGCTTGCCATCTTAAAACATAGTGCTTCACCCAGGCATTTGATTAAACTTGTACTATAGTACCTTTCGATCTGCCTGGATATTGTCCTGAATTTCAATGTCAGTTTACTTTTGATGTTTTTATTGAACAATGTTTTGTTTTTATGCAGGTACATCATCTCATTTATTTTGAAAAATATAGATTTATTGAAAGAAAAAATAATTACAGAAATGTCAAATCATTTAAACAAAATTCATTAGAAGACAGTAGTTGAACAAGGATGCATTTAACTCTGGGCCAACTGCTGTTTCCAGATCAGTAAGGTCATGTCATAGTCCTCAAAGATCAATTTTAGAAAGAGTTAGAACAATTATCTTTATAGGTTATTTTGGTTTTGGTTTTGTGGAAAATATCAAACTTCATAATTATAATTGCAGTCTTTATAGTAGACAGCACCTCCCACATAATGGTTGAATTTATCTTTGCTCGAGTATTCTGTACATGCCCTTGTTAACATGCCATTCACAAAGCACAGTGTTTTCTAAAGTTTTGTACAAATAGCCCAGAGTAGGAATAATCAATGCATGAAAGAAAAGCAAATGTGATGGATTCATTTGCCCAACTCTTTGACTGGTAATATTATTAGGTTTTCTGCACAAAAGCCATGTGCATCCTAGTTATGTGCATCAAAATGCAGGTTACAAAACTGGATATGTAACATTGGTACACAGAAGCATATCAAACCAGAAAGAATAAACT